TGATGGGGAATGTACTGTGTATGTTTATCTTATTGATTGTTAAATAAAATACTGTTTGGCCAATGAGACAGCAATTTAGGCAGGACTAGGAGTCAAAGAGGATTCTGGGAAATGTAGTGGAGAAGTGTTGATCCAGGCAGGAAGTGACATAGCAAGGAGACTCATATTTAGCAAGTAGAAACAGGAAATGGTCCCCTTTCCCCTCTGCTCTTCCTCTAGCGGCACAATGTGATCCACCGGCAAGGAGGGATGCCAATAAGGCACCCAATAAGATAAGTCTTATAAAATATATAGATTTATGATAATAAAGACTGAGCTAGCAGATGAGAATCCTAGTCATTGGCCAAGCAGCTTTGAACCTAATACAAGTTTCTGTGTATTCATTTGGGCCTAACTCGGCTGGGCGGCTGGAGTAAAGCACACACGTGGTGGTGGGGCTCAACGGCCCAACTAGTCTCTATGATTTCCCTGAATGCCATTCCTCTACACCACCATCCACAGATCTGTTCTTCCTGAGATAAACTTCATCATCTTGACCACCAATCACTGGCCTCCCCAAAATTTAGCTTGTTCAGTGTCTGGGTGCCTGAGAGAATGCTATGTTCCTCACCTGTGATCAGGATGTCCAGAGGGTCACTGGGAGCTGACAATTCAGAAGAAGATCTGTATGAACCATGGCATCTATACCGGCCCCCAGTGGAGAAATTGACAGAAACTAAGGTGAAGTTGGCATGAGACCCTCCAGCCTGGGTATGATTGGCCAAAATAAGTGGGAGGTGACTTCCACCCTCCTTGGACAGAGCAAATCTATCATATCTTTTGTCTGAGCAACACTGCAGGGTCAGGTTATCTCTGGGGGCCAGGACAGGTCCTTGCAGAGTCAGCAGGGTGGGCTCCTTGGATAACCCTGGAAGAAGGACATGTAGAAAGTCATCCAGCTGGCTCCTGGTATACATTCCTATGATGGTTACTTTTATGTCAACTGGAAACAAGCTGGAGTCACTGGAAAAGAGGGAGCATCAACAGAGGACAAGCCTCCATAAGATTAGGCTGCACACAATCCTGTATAGTATATTGTTAGTTGGGAATTGATGGATGAGTGTGCATTCCATTGTGTGTGGTACCCTCATTTTAGATGTAGTCCTGGGTTGAATATGAATGCAGGCTGAGCAAGTCGGTAATCAGCATCCCTCCAGGGCTTCTGCACCAACAACTGACTTCAGGTTCCTGACAAGTCTGAGTTCCTGTCCTGATTTACTCTGAGGATAAATAGTGCTTTGAAAGTGTAAGACAAACATTTTCCTTTACAACTTGCTGTTTGTCATGGAATTTCATTTCAATAGTAGAATCATAAGTAGGACAATACCCCCCTCCCTCTGCTCTGAGAGTGTCATGGTCTCTCATATTCTGGGTCATAGCAGTCAAGAGCTCCCTATAGCTATCATGACTGGAACCATCCTTAGGGAAGTAGAGCTAGTGACAAAGGGATATCATGTCAAAAAACAGTTGAGTGTATGAGAGTCCCTTACCTGAGACATGTATCTCCAGAGAGTTACTGGCCTCTGACCAGATATGTGGGTTTGTTTTGTGGTATCCATAGCATGTAAAGGGCCCACTCTTGCTGGATGTCACAGGGATCTCAGGAAACTGAGCCTGGGATTGTACAGAGTTTGTGCACACTGCCTTGGGGTCGCTGGAGAAATTCGGGTCTTCCCCAGTTATGATGAAACAATCATAGGGCTTTGATGAGACACACTGGAGTGTCACATTCCCACCTGCCATCACCACAGGGCTGGGCAAGGCTGAAAGACTAGGTTTACCATGGTAGACACCTAGGAAATAGAGGATGCAGCCTGTTAAATGATACATTGTCTCCATCAACTGGGCTCTGGGTGAAAACATTTAGGAGTTGTGTTTCCTGAGGGAAAATAAAGAGGGCACAATTTACTCATGCTAACAAATAATATGTGGGAAATCAGGAATGTTACTCAAGCAGGGTGTCTGCCCAATGAAGACAATTAATATCTGATTCCCACCAAGAAGTGAATGGTTTTAATAACCAGGTGACCTTTCTATCTGTAGAGCCAGTTCTCACCTAAATCCCTCAGAGTATTTATTGCAGACTCTGCCTCCCTAGACTTTCATTGTTTGCTTTCAGTTAAGAAAGCCAATCCTTAGGAGAAATGTCACATGTTTCTTATACACTGCAGACACCTTTACAATCTCTCTCTCAAAGACCACAACAGACCAAAGACCCGTAAGATATGGATCTCATCTTGATGGTCACATGTATTTCAGTTACATTTTTATGTATGTATGCCTAATTTTCTCACAGGATTTTCCATTACACCAGGAATCTTTTCCTCCAAAAGTGTATATAGTGTTTAAATATACTTACTATAAAACACTTCCTGTCAGACTTATAAAATATGAACAAGTAACTGCTATGCCAGCCTGAACTGAGTTTTCCTTATCACTTCCTGTGGGTCATTTCCCTGCCATCAGCAGAGGATTCAGTGCTCTACAAAAGATAAAGGTGAAGGTTGAGACCTTTAGTGTCCACTCACCTATCACTACCAACTGCAGGGAATCACTGTGCTGAGTCCACCCTCCAGAATTATAACAGTAACAGCGATATTGCCCTGCATGATGCTCGTTCACAGAGGGTATGACAAACTTGGCCTTGTGATATGGCACAGGTGCGGTTAATCTGTCCCAGGGTCCTGTAGATCCTTCTTTATATAGGAAGTATATTTGGGTTTGCCTGGTTCCCTCACAGTAGATTGCCACAGACTTCCCTACGTCGATCACAGAGCCTGGCTCGGCCCAGATGTTGGGTTTCTGGAGGGTCCCTGCAAAGAAGTGTGTGAGAGGGATATGGGGTTTTAAAAAATTGTACAGCAAATGTAAGAGTTGTAGTTGACTCTGGAATAAGAGAAGGACACATGGAGCCATCTAACGTAGAGGAAATGAGATGCATCTCTTAGGATACTTGCACATGCAAATGACACGTTAGGTGATAGGCAAAGCAGAAGGACACTTAAAGACAATATTTCCATGGACTCTTGAGTCCCACTGTTATTCTCCACCTTTGTTTCTGACCCTCAGATGCTTTTGTGTCCCACACTCTGTGATAGTAGACTCGGGATCCTGAGTTCATTAACTCAACACATATCAGGTCCTTCCCTGCAAGTAAGTCATCATTCAAAGGAAACTCTAGGCTCTCCTTACCTGAGACCAGAAGTTCTAGATGGTTACTGGGTGCTGACCACATCTGGGGGTTGTTCACATAATAGCCATAGCATGTGAATCTCCATCTCTGGTTGGGGGTCACAGGACCCACTGTGAATAGGGCCTGGAATACACCAGAGTTTGCATTCGTTGGGGCCGAAAGCCAGGGGAATTTTTGTCCTTCCTTCATTAAAATGAACCTGTTATATCTCTCTTGTGAGGAACACTGAAGTGTGACATCACCTCCGGAGGCCACCACAGGGCTGGGCTGGGCTGACAAGGAGACTTTGCTCAGGTAGACTCCTAGATGAGAAGAGGAAGTCTGTTCAGTGTACCCATTCTGGTATGCATTTGTCCCTCTGTTGGAGTTTGAGAAATGGAACCCAATGTAAACATATTCCTATGTTCAAGGCAGGTCCAGGGATAGGGGATGAGTCCTCTCACCTGTCACCACCAGCTCCAGGGCATCACTGCGTTCTGACCAACCGGCAGAGTTGTAACAGTAACAGCGATATTGGCCTGAATGATTGTTTTCCACTGATGTGATGGAGAACTCGACATTGTTAAGAGTCCCACGAGGAGATTGTTGGTCCAAGGGAGCTGGGGATCCTTCTTTATGCAGGAAGCATATTTGGGTTTGCATAGCACCCTTGCACCAGATAGTCACAGCATTGCCTCTGCTGACCACAGAGCCTGGATCAGCCCTCAGGATGGGCTTCTGAAGTTTTCCTGCAAATAATTAAGAGAGAAGGACGTGGAAGTTTTGAATAGTGACAGTGAACATCTACCTGCAGCTAAACTTAAACTTTACTCCTGAAATGCAAAAGAGAAAAGTCAGTAAAGCTATGGGAAGACCTACCACTCTCCAGACCCTCCTTACTTTCATTCTTACCATCCCCTGCCCTTGGTTCTTGTTTTGTGACACCCACAGTACACACACTGTGCCAATGGGTTCTGGACCCCCGACTCCTATACCTATCACACCTCAGTGCCTCCCTGATGAATCTGTGTAGGTTTTACATCAATCCAGAAAGAGTCTGTGTCTTATTCACCTGACACTAGGAGCTCCAATGGGTATTCATTCTTACCATCCCCTGCCCTTGGTCTTGTTTTGTGACACCCACACTACACACCCTGTGCCAATGGGTTCTGGACCCCCGATTCCTATACCTATCACACCTCAGTGCCTCCCTGATGAATCTGTGTCAGGTATTACATCAACCCAGAAAGAGTCTGTGTCTTATTCACCTGACACTAGGAGCTCCAATGGGTCACTCCCTTCTGACCACATTTGAGCATTGCTCTTGTAATAGCCATAGCATCGGAAGCTCTGTCTTTGACTGGAGCTAATGGGACCCACTTGGAACCTGACTGGTAACTGCCCAGTATACAAATATTGTAAATCCACAGAGAAATTCCACCTTGTAAATTATATGTGATCTGTTCTGCAACACCAGAAGGAATGCCCAGTATACAAATATTGTAAGTCCACAGAGAAATTCCACCTTGTAAATTTTATGTAATCTGTTCTGCAACACCAGAAGGACACATGAAGACCCCATACATCCCCTGACCTTTTGGCTTTCATTGCTATTGTGCATGGCAGTTTTTGCACCACATTCCAGATGCTTACCACATTTGGTGACATTGGAATCAGGAGCAAAACCAGTTTATTAACCCACCATCTGTCAGGTCCTTCCCTGTGATCCAGTGTCAGGTCAATTTTCATTCATAGGAAATTCTAGAGCTTCCTTACCTGAGATCACCAGTTCTAGTGAGTTTATTAACCCACCATCTGTCAGGTCCTTCCCTGTGATGTGTCAGGTCAATTATCATTCATAGGAAATTCTAGAGCTTCCTTACCTGAGATCACCAGTTCTAGGGGGTTACTGGGTACTGACCACAGCTGGGAGCTATTCTGGTAATAGCCATAGCATGTGAATCTCCATCTCTGGTTTGGGGTCACAGGACCCACTTGGAACCAGGCCTGGAACACACCAAAGTTTGTGTTCTGTGAGGTCATGGGATTTGAGAATTTCTCATCTTCCTTCATTAGAATGAAACTGTTATATTTTTCTTGTGAGGAGCACTGAAGGGTTACAGAACCTCCTGAGGCCATCACAGAGCTGGGCTTTGATGAAAGTGTGAGTTTGCTGGTGTAGACTCCTAGGAGAGAAGAGGAATCCTGTTCAATTGACTTTTCTGCCTCCTATTGATCCCTTTTTCTGGGATATGAGAAAGTTAATACACTCCTTCCCACAAAACAGCTCCTGTGGTGGGAGAATGGTCCTCTCACCTGTCACCACCAGCTCCAGGGTTTCACTGTTTTTGGATGTGCCAGCAGGGCTTTTATAGTTACACCAATATTGGCCAGCATTGTGACTTTCAATGGATGAGATAAAGAACTCCTTTTCCTCGGTGTCTTCATAAATTTTTAGTATCTGGGAATGTGGCTTTCCTTCTTTATAGAGATAGAATTTCTGGGCATCTGAGGGGCCTTCACAAATTATAGTTACCTCCTCCCCAATGGCTACCACATTGTTTGGCTGTGCTCTGATCATGGGTTTATAGAAGTCTCCTGGAAGCCAAGAAAACAAACAAAAACAGCTGTTGGTCCATGAGTACCTCTCACAGAGATCCAAGGTCTCAACCACAGGACCTTCCAGGGATCACCTGCAGGAGCCCACACCAGCTGTTCTCCATCTCTTCCCTTCAGAGGTGACTCACTGAAGATTTATAAAGTAAGACAGTTGGAAAGGCACTCACCTGCCAGCACCATGTTCCTGGGGAGCAGACTCAGTCCTGCAAGAGAGTTACACGTGAGTGCATGCACTTCAAGCCTGAGCAGGACCTCTACTTCTAGATCCCTTCTGAGCTGCTGAGATACCCTGATGGCCCAATGCACAGCTGTGAGGTGACCTCATTCTTAAAGTAGAATTCTCTCTCCCAAACTCAATTTCTCACCAAGACCAAGCAGTACTGTGAAGGTGTGGATCATGGCATCTTCCAGTTGCCGAAACTTTGTAGATGGTTGGTTCCCTTGCCAAATGAGCAGACACAACGTATATGGCCTTGCAGTCAGGCGTCTCCTTCTACTCATGTGTGTATGATCAAGTCAGGCCTTGCCAAAAGGAACTGTTCTTTCTATGCAAGTGGCTTTTGTTTGCCAGTGCTGTGAAGGGTGGGGTTGTAAAACGTGTGATATCTATTTCCGTGAGGTTCTTTGGTTTTGGTTTCTGACACAAAGCCCCCTAAAACTCAGGCAGTTCTGAGTCTCCTCCCCTTTCTCAGTCAGCTGGTTGTGTGCATGGATTACAAGCCCATATCTGATTGTGGTCTCTTCTTGCAGAACATTTCCCTAATCCTCATCTACATGTCAATAGATGGCCCTCTACAACACAGATTAAGAAGAGAGAATAATCCTGCTGCCCTCATGAGCCAATGCCTACAGCTGAGGGGACCTCAGGGATAATTTTTTCTCTCAGAGCTTCTCCTTGGTTCATGACGACTATTTCTGGCAGACCACACCCATATTGCTATAGGTAACTTATGTTGGCAAGGATAACACCCTGACCTGTGTATGCTTTGAGTTTTGTGTGAAATTTTCTTGGGGACAGATGAGCAATGAATGACTGGTT